AACTCTGGTGTGGTTCGAATAATATATGAACGTAACACGGACCAAATACTTCTAAACGAACCAAAAACAGGAAGTGATGACAAGATGTGACGCTATGTGACATGATTTGACGACGCGGTGTAACCAAAACAAAATGAGCAGAGGGCAAACGTGGAGCAACGATGAGGTAAAGTGCCTTTTATGAGCTCCTTGTGAGTTTGCAGGTGGTGAAAATAAAATGTACATGCAAGAATGAGCGCGCTTAGTCCAGGAGACGGCATTAGGTGTGTTCGACTTAAAGTGGAGCTGAGCGGACAGATCGGATAATGGGTGCTTTGATATCATACATCCGCAAGCACCGCTGTAAGTCTAACGCAACTTTTCTTTGGGGTGTTCGGTGAGTTCCGTCACGATATATACGTCATTAAAGTCGACCAATCAGGTTGTGAACGTATCACTATGCCTTTAGATTCGCTGTCTTTAGGTTCGCTGTCAAAAATGTCAATGTGAACACTAAGCGGACCAGGACCAAATGTATCATTTTCCTTTTTGGTCCGGACCAAATGGACCGAACTACAAGTGTGAACACACCCTTTATGTTAAGATGGTGTCTTAGAACTAGTCTACTAGCAGTAAGCCAAGGGGTAATCAATCTTAGTTTTTGGTTTCAAAACAGAATAATCTACGTTTTTATATAACTGACTTAAAAAAAATTATGACCAGTCTTACATAAAAAAATAAAAAGATGACTAACTTGTAAGACTAGTCTAAGTGTTTTATGCAACCAACCCCATTTCTTTCGAGTCTGAGTCCAGGCCGAGACCTGAGTAGGTTGAGTCTTAGTCAAGACTCAAACCAGAAGAGAGTCTAAATGAATGTAAATATGCTGTATTGGGGGTGAACGGAGCCTGGTTTTGCTTCAATGTCACATGAATCTCTGTAGCTCTTGTCCAGAACTGCACAGACCACAAAACATATTCACAGTGTTGTAGTACTCAAGAACAGACTCTGTCTTGACTTGTTTCGAGTCAAAGGCAAAGTCCAAATGCTCCACAACAAGACCAAAACCATGAAAATCTTGGTCCTGGACTCAGAATCGAGTCCAATTTCGAGTATCACAACATTGCTTTAGAACAGGGCTACCCAATCCCGTTCCTGCAGATCGACCTACCTGCAGAGTTCAGTTCCAACCCTGATCCAACAAACCTGTCTGTAATTATCAGGTGCTGCAGTTCTTAATTAGCTCAGGTGTGTTTGATCAGGATTGGAGCTGAACTTTGCAGGAGGCAGATCTCCAGGAACAGGACTGGGTGGGTACCCCTGCTTTAGGATGTCAATTCTGTCAATCTTTTGGGCATCAAAAACTGTTAGCTGTCTATGTCTTTACCAGACATGACACATCCTGCAATGCTTCTTGTCTCCTTCACATTAGTCTTCACAGCTCATTTCTGTCCTTCAGGTATACCAGATTGTGGTGATCCGCTCAGGTAGTTACGACTGTGAGCGTGTAGCTATCGAGCGACGCTACTCAGACTTCCTCCACCTTCATCAGGAGCTCCTGCTGGACTTCAGCGAGGAAATGGAGGACATTGTGATGCCCAGGAAGAAAATGAGGGGCAACTTCTCAGAGGAGAACATCGGCGAGCGACGCGTAGCCCTCAGAGACTATCTTACTCAGCTCTACTCCCTCCGTTTTGTCCGAAAATCACAAGCGTTCCTAGCGTTCTTCACTCATAAGGAATTAAAGGCTGCATATGACCTCCTGCGTGGGGGCCGCTTTTCCCGGGCCCTTGAGGGCCTCCAGAAGGTGTTGGTACTTCAGGAAAAACTGTCTTCTCACAACCCTACTTTGGTGGTACCAACCCTGTGTGCCATACTGGTGTGCCAAAGGGATCTAGAAGACTTTGACGCAGCATTTCAAACTGGCAGAAGAGCTCTGCCCACAGTGAGACGCTACGAGCTCCGGCAGTATCAAGGGCCCCTGCTGGAGGCTCTTGTTGATTTGGGTTACAGTCTTGGGCTGCCTGTGGCGCAGTTACAGGATGAGCTGACCAGAATGCAAGACTCGCCAAATGGGCAGGTGTCAGAGATGTCTCTTAAAGAACTGGTGGTGCAAGAGTTTGTATAATCAGAAACAACTGCTATTTAGTTGTTAACTATAATCATTATTTGATCAAACCCCTAATCCAAAATTTCAAACTTCAGTTGTTCTGTGTGATCGGACTAATGATTCTCACCTGAAAGAAAATGCAAACAAATGAAAATCCCCACAGATTTACATTGAAGAAATCAGAATTTGATAGAGAGTTGGTGAGGGCTCTTTTGACTTGAACCAGAAAGAAACCACCCAATCACCCAGAACAACCGCATAGCATGTCCCATCCACATATCAGTACCCAAACACTGTAGGCATGAGGATAGTCTCCTTTGGCTTGGGCAAGTGTTCTGACTTGTTCTGTATTTATATTTTTATGAGCCATATTTCTTTTATCTCATATTTTATTTATGCTGCAAATCTTTTCCATTCATCTTGGATAATTGTGCAACAGTGAAATTAAATGTCACTCTGGCAAGTTATTCTGGATTGCTTTCACTGATTGTGAGCACTTTTAAGCCAGTGTGTTGTTATTGTTAACTAAATCTAAAAATATTAAAATTAGTTTTTGTTAACTGAAATATGATACATTTTGAAATATGATCAAAGCTGAATTAAAATAAATTATATTCTACAAAAACCTTAAACTTAAAAAAACTAATGAAAATGAGAAATAAACTGAAATAAAATAAAAGTTGAAGTAGGCTACTATGATCAATAAAACTAAATTGAAATAAAGATAAATTGAAGCTAAATAGAAATATAAAAAAAAGAATGAAAAAGACAAAAGCACATACAATTACTCAGACTAAAATGAAAACGAAAAATATAAAAAATTATATTATTAAAATAATAATATCAATAAATAATATAATAATACATAAATAAAATAACAAAGTTTCAAGCAGACTTAGCAGTTTTCACACCAAATGCTCTTATATGGAAACTTTGAACCACAGAGCTTCTCAGAATTCTTAAAAACGTAATTCCCTGATGCTCTTCTAAATAAATTATTTTGTTATTGTAATTGATATATTTACACTTTTGCAAAACATAGCATCCTACAAACTCACACTGAGTGGATTGGTATGATTCCCGCTTTGGGATTGAGAAATCCTGGTGTTCAAATCCCGGACGAGCCCCCAAATAATGGTTTGTCCATCAATATCAATATATGAATATATTTTTGTGTCAATACGTTATTTATTTATGTTTTAAATCTCCAAAACAGTCTTTCATTAAATCATGACATACTATGCTTGGGCACAATGACTGCCTTGTCTATTACTGTATGGTACCATACACATACATAATAGTCAAAGAACTGTGAGAGGAGTTTAAACAAAACTTCAAACAAAAACACAGATGTCCAAACTTTTTTTCATTTTGTGATAAAATTAGAATTACAACTTAATTACTTGTATGAAATATTTCATACTGTGCCAGAACAACAAACAACAAACATTTCTGCCTGTGTGTCTGTCCAACTCCAACATGATCTTATGAAACTCCAGGAAGCAGGTTCTTTCTGATGTGATGCACAGGTGTAAGTCACACTTGCTGCACTTGATTAGGATGATCCCTTTACAGCTGGGATCCTTGCATCTCCCTTTCTTCCCCATGACAGGCCAGTGGTCCGTTTTATCCAAGCGCACTTAATCAGACACACTGGGGCCCGCTGGCCTACTTTTCCTCGTCTCCGCCAGTGATAGAGGTTTCCTTTAAAAAACTGAATATTTATGGGCCTTGGATATATTCAATATAAATACCACATTTATGTACCAAGGTATTTACATTCAGTTTTGGGTAAGTTACTCTAAAAAAAGTAATGAATTACTAGCTACTAATTACATTCAACAATGTAATTAGATCACTGTACTAATTACTTTCTCTAACAAGTATTGCATTACAATACTTTTTATTTATGCAAATTGCATAAATTATTCTTGATGCGACCAAAGTATTGAAAGGGAGAAGTTTACTTAAAAAAAAAAATTTTTTTTTTACCTTAGATGTTAAATTTTGATGTTAAATCCACTATTGTTTTATATAGAATTGTTTTATAGTTTATACAGTATTTATTGCAATTACATCAGAAGTAACTTTTTTTAGAAATTACAAAACAATTAAGAGTAATCCCTTACTTTACTTTTTTCAAGGGAAAGTTACAATTAATTACTTCGCAATGCATTTCACCCCACACTGTTTACATTGTACTTAAAGGTACTATGGTATTACTATGGTACATGACCAAAAACATGATGGAAACCATAGTACTTTTTGTTTGATAAATAAACAAACAAATAAACACCACTGTGGTAGAAGTGGTAATGAGAAGGGGAAAAAAACTATGCATCGATTATACCAGTATATTGATATTTGAATATTTGAATGAAAGCAATAATTATGTTAGAATTATTAATATAAAAACAAATATAATAACTAAAATAATATAACTCATGCCACTAAAATCCCCAGTAAGAAAATACATTATAATTCCATTGTTTTCGACCTGCAATAGGCTATGCATTTAACTGCGTAACTGAGGCGATTTGAAAACAACATCTATTTAATTTACCAAAACTGCAGAACTTAATCGTTACTGTGGTGAAATACAGGAATATGTTTAGCGATGCACTTCGAGAAATAAAATCGTGTGTTGCCCCCATAGAGTTGCCCCCTATCGCATCACTGAACCATAGAGGGTTAATGTAGCTCATCAGACGTGAGTAATCAATAAATGTAAAAATAAATATAAAAAAATACAAAATAAATAAATAGTAAATAATACTATATTGAAGTATAATACATTATTAAACTGTTATTAAATAAATACAGTATTATATTACTGAATTTGTAACATAAAAGATGAAACTGGTCGATTTTTGTTGTGCGACTATTCGAGCCTTGCACATGTTGCGACAGCGCGTGCGCAGACTACACGCGGACAAGTATTTATTTTAGCTTCTTGTGCTACATGCAGCCCATATAACTGAAAGAAGAGCTCTTTATATCAGTTCATTCACATTAACACGCGTAGTTTAGCTCTTGTCTACAATGGCGAAGGACGGTGCAGCGAAACTGTCCAAAAATCTCCTGCGGATGAAGGTAAGAAGCTGTGACTCGCAGACATCAGCATCAGCTCGGATCCGCGTGGAATGCATTCCGAACAGGGAAATCATTTAGTGGAGGACTTTAGACTAAAACTTAAAAAAAAAAAACATCTTGATGTTTGAGTTGCGTGCTGCTGTGAGTGTCATGCTTTTGCTGAATGCAGTGTGTTGTATTTCAGGCGAGCATGTGTCTGATGCCCGCTTTCTTTCTCTCTCTCTGTGTGTGTGTGTGTGTGTGTGTGTGTGTGTAGTTCATGCAGAGAGGGTTGGACGCAGAGCTGAAGAAGCAGCTGGATGAGGAGGAGAAGAGGATCATCAGTGATGAACACTGGTTCCTGGACCTTCCTGAGCTCAAGGCCAAAGAGTGAGACCTGACTGACATCTCACTGATATCCTGTCCTCAGAAAACTATATTTGGACACATAATGTCTTAATGGCATTGTGTGACGTAACGAATATCTATGGAAGCCCATTTCCGCCACAAAAGGAAAAAAAACCCAAAAAACTTTATTTGGTAAACTATGACCATAAAAATGGTCGTAATTGACATTTCTCATTTTTATGAGATAAAAGGTCGAAACTATGACAAACAGATGTGATAATGACGTAAGTCGAAATTGGCAGAGAAAATTATGACATAATAAATATTGAAATTATAAGATGCATGTTTATGAGAGTCAAAACTATGACTAAGTTATACTTATTATGATGTAAAAAAAAATCGAAGTTGACTAAAATGTCGAAATAATTGACAATTTCTACTTTGTCATAATTTTGGCTTTCTCATAATTTATTTATTTTTATTTATTTTATTTAGTCATTTAGCAGACGCTTTTATCCAAAGCGACTTACAAATGAGGACAATAAAAGCAGTCAAAACTAACAAAAGAGCAACAATATATAAGTGCAAATGACTCGTTTAGCCTAACGCAGTACACGTAGCAAGGTGTGTGTGTG